ATACACAAGGAACTCAAGCAGCTGTTCTGAAAAAAAGATGATCAACCCTATTAAAAGATGGGAGAATGAGCTGAAAAAAACCACTCTCTAAAGATGACATAGGAATAGCTAAAAGGCATTTAAAAAATGCTCAACATCCCTCATTGTAAGGGAAATGCAGATCAAAACAACAATGAGATACCACCTAACCCCATTCAGAATGACTAAGATTAAAAAAACAAAAAATGATAAGAGCTGGCAGGGGTGTGGTGAAAGGAACTCTCTTACACTGCTGGTTGGAATGTAAATTGGTCCAACCACTGTGGAGAACAATTTGGAGATTCCTCAAAAATCTACAAATAGAACTACCATATGTTCCAGGAATCCCACTCCTTGGTATCTACCCAAAGGACTGAAGAATTCTTCATCAGAAAAGTGCTTGCACATACATGTTCATTGCGGCACTATTCACAATTGCTAAGACATGGATCCAACCCAAATACCCACAAACAGATGAATGGATTGAAAAACTGTGGCACAAATACTCTATGGAATACTATTCAGCCATAAAAAAAACCTGGCTTTTGACAGAAAGTGGAAGAATATGGAAGATTTACTGCAGAGTGAAGCAAACCAGGCTATGAAGGAGAGACACTGTATGTCTCCACTTAATAAATACTAAGTGTCTGTACTCTATGACTGAAACTGATTGACTAAGGGATATAGAAACATGGTAAATGGATGTGAATTCCAGATATAGTGTGTGTGAAAGAGCACAGTCTGAGGAAGGACATTTAGAAGAAAATTAGAATGGCAAAGCATTAAGAGGACAAAGAAATGTGGTATTATCTGTTGAATATAATTTTATAGTTTTATCAACTGGAATAGGGAGAAATGTTCAGCTGTTGAAATATTCACTTTGTAAACTAAACAATGTGATTAAATGTACAAAAAAAAGAAATTAAAAAATGTAAAAATTAAAGGCATAGAGAATAACTGCAGATACTAGGGACAGTCTGGGAGGAAAGTGGGAACTGAGGGAGGGTACGATGGAGGGAATCAAGAGGAAAAAGAAAGAAGCAATATGTTTAGGGACACAGAAGTGGAAAATTATCTGTCAATGATAATGTATATGATAATATCTTTGACTGGACTAATAAACAGTACATTAATGATGGAAAGAAAAGAATTATAGGACAAAATGTCACTTTTGGCTTCAGCTCTAACTTGATATTAGGGATAAAGATAACAGGTTCAATCCATAGAAAGACGTTATGTCCTTATTTTTATTATTTTCTGAAATTGAACTTTATTGATTTGGTTGATTTGGTTGTGCTAGAATAGACATGGCTTTGATATCAGACACCCTTGACTTACAATTCTCTACCATTTCCTAAATGAGTGACTTTGGGAAGATTTGATTTAGCCTTTCTGAAATCTGTGTTACTCGTTTGTTATGTGATTGTAAAATGAAGATGACAGGATGGACTAGTGGAACCAGAACTGTAAGTTAAAGTTGTCCTATTCTCCTGACTTTTACACAATGGCAACTGATGCAAAATGAAAAAAAAAAACAACATTGTTCAGGCCAAATAAAATACATCTGTAGGCTACATTTGGCCTGTGATTCACAAGTTTTGATCTTTGTGTCAGTTGAGAGAAGGCAGGTTATTAATATGGTATGGTAGCTGAGATTATGGACTATGAAACCATATTGCCAAATTTGTCCATTTACTAGCTCTGTGATGTTAGGAATCTGTTTTTCTCAGATTAATTTTCTATAAACTAAGAATAATGGTAGTATGTATCTTGTAAGGTTGTTATGAGAATTAAGAATGTGTGTAGCAGTTATATCACTGGACTCTCACTTGGGCAACCACAGGTGGAGTCCCAGACCGGTTGCTTGAAACTCATGCTGGGCATGTATGTGTGCATGTCCAAGATCCCAGGAGGAGAATGGAGGGTGGCCATCCTCCCAGGGGGTGATTTCTCACTTTTTCCTCTCACTGAATCTCTCTCTCTCCAGTGAGCACACATGCCCTAAGGCAAAAAAATCTCTTTAAAAAAAAGTATGCTTGTGTGTATTCAGAAACAGTGCTTGGCAGGAAGCAAGTGTTGTGCAGTTATGTTAAATAAAATAAGTCCTAAGCTTCTTTTCAGGTTTTAATATTATATGAGTTATTTATATTAAACAAGGACTTACAGAAAACCAACTATTTATATTGATTCTAACTTGGTCCTTACCTCAGTTTGCTCATCTGTGCCTCAGTTTACACATGTACATAACAGAGACAGTAATGATACCTGCCTTTCATAGTTATTATAAAAATTAAATGAGTTAATATAAAAAGAATTAAATATCTACAGTATTTAGAACATTTTCTGGCACAGTGTAAGCACTGTGTAAGTGTTAGGCATTATCATTAATTTTTAAACAGATTCCTTGGTGAAGCTCATGTAAGTCAGTACTGAAAAACTCCAAAATATATTTAATAGTGCTTACAATATGGCATTGATTCTAGAAACAATGTCCATACCATAATAATGGAAGTGAAATTTTGACCCTTCAATCAATCATTCAAAAAAGCCAAAGTGCTGAAGTCTAAGAATAAGAAAACTTCCCAGTTATTGCATAGTCTGCTTAATACACCTCAATACCAGATTGAGATAAAAAAGAATAATGACCTAAACTTGTATTTATGAAGTCAACTAATTAAATTTATGTTTAAGAGCTCCTTTTGCATTTTCCATAATGTTTCTAAGTAGGAGATGAGGAAAATTCAAATTTTGGTGCACAGAGCTGATTAGAAGAAAGTTCTATATTGGAAAAAGGGTCATCTCCTGCCTCACTAATTCATCCCAGTCTACCTGGGGTTGAATATCACTTCGTCAAATATGTAAGAAATGGAACTTATAAATGGACTCAGGTCTTGGGGCTGGAAAAACCAGCACCTTAAACATAATTTATAAGATCAGAAGAGTCTGGTGTGAAGAAACAAAGGACTCTTGGAAGGAATTGAGAGTGAGGGGATGTGCAGTGAGAGATATAGAAGTCCTAATGTAAGGAGAGTGGAAATATACTGAAACCTCACCCTGTAAATAGAGAACATTACAGGCCACAAATTTAAAGGTTCTGGCTGTCGATTTTTAGTGTTGAAATGACAATAAATATTACTTGACTCTCTTTTGAGAGGATGAGGATTCTTCATTGTAAGAAGACAGGATTTAAGGGAGATTATACTGTGAGAAAACCAGGAGCTCTGTTGTGAGAAGAGAGTATACAATATGGAAACTTTGTCATGAGTTGAGGAGAACATTAAAAGACCATTAGTAATAAGAATAGAGGACTAGGGGGAATCCAAGTGGAACTAGAAAAGAGACGTGAGTTTGTATCAGGAAATGTGGAACTTTAAATTTGAAAGGACAAGGGAACCAGCAGTTAGCGTAATGGCTATGTCCCTGGACTCCCACGTAGTTGATCGCGGTTCACGTCCCAGACCTGGTGGCTTAAAACTCACACCGGGCACGTGTGCGTGCGTGCCCAAGATCCCAAGAGGAGAATGGTGGAGAAGGGACTGCAGCATGGCCATCCCCCCTGGGGGGTGATTTCCTGCTTTCTGTCTCTCTGTCTCTCTCTGTCTGTCTGGTGAGCGCACGCGCCCTAGAGCAAAAATCTCTCAAAAAAAAATTTGAAAGGACAAGATATACTGTGAAAATCATTTTATAAACAAGGGGAAAACTAAGTGCTTCCTAGTGTAACTGGACAGGGTACAAAAGAAGGCCACAAAAATATAAGAGGGGTGACTAAACAAGAAAGGACAAGAAATGATACTTCCATCAGAAAGCATATGAAATACTAGAAATTCAAGTGATAAAACATGAGGTTTTCCCAGGGTGAGAAGATAGGTGACAATTGTCATCCTAAAGGGAAGTAAAAAAGAAATGTTAAGGAATCTCAGAAGGAAAGGATGGCAGAATGTGGGACTAACAGTGGAAGAGCACTGTAAGAGGCAAGGAGTGGGTTTCCCAGAAAACATGACAAAGATAAATCAAAATTAGAAAATTAATGGCTTTTTGAAAGGATATGAGAAACATAACCCTTGTGGAAGGGTAAAGAGAACATTCTAGTATGAAAAGAGGAATGAGAGAAGATCATCATGTGACAAAAGCAGAGTCATTAGTATAAAGTATCAGAAAATAATGTGAGGACCCTAATGGAAAGAAGTTGAATGCTCCCTAAGGCAGTAAGGCAAGAGACTAGAGGGAACTGCAGTATGCTAAGACCAGGGCCATTAGTCTGAGGGGAGAGGATATATTGTGGAACCCCCATTCCACTGAAGAAGACAAGAAAGTGAAGAGAGCCCACACAGAGAATGGAGAGCTTACCATTGCGTGAAAAAAGGAGACCCCAGTGGGATAGATAGGATGTACTGTGGGGTCACAAGTGGGTGAAAATATGAAGCAGTTCAGTACATGTGAGAGGATCACAGGAAAGGGAATCTCTGTGTGGGACAAGAAAAGACAGCTTGTAAGAGAGTAGAGGAAATATTCTGGGATTCTTAGTAGGGAGTCCTCATAAAATTCTAATAGGAGAGGGAAGTGAGCACCTAGTTGGATGCATTAGTGGGGTTTATAGTGTTAGCAGGCAGTTTAAGGTCACAGGGTATGTTATTTCCTCAATTTGGTAGAGTGGGGGCCCTAGAACAATAGCACAAAGTGCAGCGGTTGCTCATATGAGAAAAGGGGGCCCTAGTGGGAAGAGCCAAGAAATTATTGCGGGTAGGATAAGGAAAAAGGAAACCCTAGGTGGAAAGTGATGGCGACATGGTGGGACCCTCCTGGGAGAATGCAGGAAATATTGTGCGTGGGAGGCCAAAGGTTGGAGACAGGCAGCTCTCCAAGGAGTGCAAAGAAAACCGCATTGTAAGGGCTGAGAACACAGGGGACAAGAGGGTGAAGGATAGGACACACGACTGTGCTGGAGCATAATCTCCCCACCTTAAGTGCCCAGCTCCACTTACCCAGGCAGAGTTCAAAGACGTAGGCATAATAGGACCAGAGCACGACGAGAACAATAACGAGCACTGGCACCCAGGACAGTACCCGGCGACAGCACCGCAGCCCCCCAGACAGAGCCATCTTCCAGCCCCCGCCGCATCTTCGGCTCGAAGATCGACCTAGCAGGCCTGCTGGCGCTAGGTCGGAACTGCTTGGGCGGCGGCTGAGAGGCGGGTAGGCGCACTGTGCGGCGCTCCACTGCCTAGCCTGGCGGGAACCTTCTCACCCAACCAAGGCCACCTGTGGTGCTGCTGCGCTGAGCTCGCCCTGCCTAGCACAATAAGCGTGAGTCATGGCGTGGAGGAATTGGCATGTTAGGGCGAAAAAGGTGATCCGTAAGGCAATTTAGGCTGGGGACGCTCAGAGGCGGTACAATCCCTCCCCTTTCCGCCGTCCCTCCCCGCCCCTTTGCTTCAGCGCTACTTGTGGATTGGACCTCTGCAAAACTGAAAAGCGGAAGAATTTTGAATCTGCCCAACTGTTCTTAATTGCATTGCATCCACCGCTCTCTGATTTCTGTCTCTGTCTCCCTTATCTCTTGGTGTCTCTCCTTGTCTCCCTCTCTTACCCCTCTTTCTCTCTAGTCCTCTCCCTGCCTTCCCAACGCTGTCGCTTGTACCACAAGAGCGGGCTGGTGAGGGACGCGCGCGTGGGCGCACAGACACACACTAACGAGTACATGTACACAGTGTAGAATATGCGAACCATACTATCTCATGACTTGAAGATCATCACCATCCTCCCACTGCTGTTTAAACAATATGCTTAACACGTAGTGTCTTGATGCCTCAGTAGGGGTTTGAGACAGAGCACTCACTCCTCCCCTCTCTCATTCCATCCCCACAGGATTAGTTTAGTATATTTTCAGAATAAGCCATTCTTGCATGAAAGAAAATGAGAGAGACTGTGATTCTGGGAAGTGTGAGGGAAGGCTACAAAGGTAATGATATTTAAGCTGAGCATAAGTGTTTTCTAAGCAGACAAGATGGGGAGGACCTTTCATATAGAGGAGTGGACATTTGCAAAGGCAAGGAGTAATGAAAGTCCAAAAGTCCCAGTAATGGGTTTGTGTGGCTTGAAGAGAGCTTGCACAAAGAGGAAAGGCTGGGAGTGAAATTGGGAATACAGGCTGAGGCTAGGGTGTGAAGGCTTTTTATATGCCCTGCCAGGTTTGGGGGACATAATCCTATAATCCTGTAAGGCAGATTATAAACTGCCATCAAAGGTTTGGGGGCAATGGAGTGACAATCAAAGATATGTTTTTTTTTTAAATCATTTATTTATTTACTTATTTTTACATTTTTACACAAACATTTACTTTACATATCAAAAACTTTTTGTTCATATTCCATAGTACTTGATAGTTAATAAAAAAATCTTTTAAAATTTCAAATAATAAACAACATTCAAAATTTCAAAAAAACAATTTTAAGGATAATGTTTGAAATATTTCTTATAATTTTGTTTGTGACTCTGAACAATAGAGACAGTTTGGTTTTAAATTTTTTTTTCTTTTTTTTTTGGAGAGATTTTCACTGTAGGGCGCGTGCGCTTGCCAGGCAGACAGAGAGAGAGAGACATAGAGACAGAAAGCGAGAAATCACCACCCAGGGGGGATGGTCACGCCGCAATCCCTTCTCCTCCATTCTCCTCTCGGGATCTTGGGCAAGCACACACACGCGCCCGGTGGTTTTAAATATTTTTGAGAAAATATTTACATGTCAACTACTCAAACTGTTGAAAACCATACATCCAGGACACAATTCACACATAAACCTTCTCAATTCAGCCCTGCCTACCAAGTATTCTGTGATATACCATCTGCTAGCAAAGGTCAGTCTCTTTCTTCAAAGACTTCCTCAAGCTAATCCTCTGGTTGTGGCTGCTCTTTTGCAATCTCTATTGATTACAATGCTAGACTGGAAAAGTCCAGGTTATTTTATGGTACAAAGTTTTTCATATAGCTTCTCTAAACCTCTCTGTCAGGCAGAACTGTTTATGGTGCCAGGCCATCTTTCCAAGAACTTCTATTGGCTTACTTGAGATCTCCCTTAAATTCCATAGTTTTCTGGTTTAATTTTCAGATATGACATTCCAGTCAAAGCCCTGTCCAATAACTTGTATTTCCAATTTCTGATTCAAGGCAATAGGTATTACTGAATTTATGCAAATAACCATTCTGACACAAAATAAGGATACTTCCAAATATTTTCCAGTACCAAAGGGATCAGGAAGGGAGAAGCTTATGTTTCTATGTAAAGAAACAAACAAACAAGAAGAAACACATTTTAACAAATTGCTAAACCTATCAACAGCTCAAAAGAAAGTAAACTTCTTAAATTGGGAAAACAAAGTATAGTAAAAAAATAAAGACAGTAATATTTTACTCAAAAGTCATAAAATTCTATTTCACCAGTTCAGTCTTACATAATTAATCTTTTCTTCTGTTGAATTTGCAGTGTTACTGTGGTCTAATCTTTCTGTTTAAATCCTGGATGTTTTTGTAAAGGAACTTGCAAAATTTTGGAGAGGATGGCTTAAAAGCAAGGATACCAATTAGGGAGCAATTTAACTCAAATACTTTGGGAGTAGTTGCTTTCTTTTAGGTCAACTTTCATATGGAAAGAATGATAAAATAAGGGGCCTGTCCACAAGAAGCCCGTGTTTTCGTGTAGGTGACAGGTGTTCATTGACACAAGTACAATAATAGAAGGAAGTAGGCTCTTGGCATTTATGGGTTTGACACTGCTTTAGTGATTTCCAAAGGTCTATTACATGAATAAATTTGTGGTTTTGCTTAGACCCATGTTTGAGTCACATTTTGTGTGACTGCTATGTGGGAACAAGGATTTCTACAAGATTTCTCTCTGTGCTTCATTTATTGTATATGCAATAAATTTCCTGAAGTTGGGCTAGCAGGTGCGGTGAAAATTAAGGTGCTGGATTATGACCTACCCCACCATTTGAATACTGGACCTGCAGCTTGAGAATCACACCAGGTACATGTGTGTGCATGCCTCAGATCTCAAGGACAGGGGAGAAGGAATTGCTGTATCACCATCTCCACCACCCCCTCACCACCACCCCCACGCCATCTCTCTCTGCTGAGTGCACATATCCCATAACAAAACTAAAAACAAACAAAAAATCCAGAGTGATGAGTTTTATTATTTATCGAGATACACTTAGCTTTATGGTTGATGTTACTCAAGTTATGATGTAATGAAATGAATAATTCATTTTAGTTGCAGTGTTTAATCACTCTATTATTTGGACACTAAGGTTCTGATGTAAGAATTTGAATTTTCCATTATTCATGAATTTGGGGCAATTGGAACATGTATGCTGGTTTTTTTTCCAGGATATATTATTTAAATCAAGATGACTTGAAGCAATAATTAAATGTGAAAAAGAAAGCCCAAGCTGGATTTTGAATAATGACTAGTTTACCAAGAAGATAAGAGGTGGGAATAGGAGTTAGAGGAGTGGGGATTCCAAGCAAAAAGAAATTTGTAGTGCCAAAGATATGTGAAACATTATACCCTGTTTAGGAGACCACAAATAATTTGTTCCTGCTGTAAGATGATATAGTGGTCTGATCAAGAAGTGATAAGGGCATGGTCATAAGAGAGAGAAAAAGGGGCAGATATAATGGTGTTTTGGATTCATAATTGCTAAGACATGGGACCAACCCACATGCCCACAAACAGATGATTGGATTGAAAAACTGTGGCACATATACTCTATGGAATACTATTCAGCCAAAAAAAAAAATACCTGACTTTTGACAGAAAGTGGAAGAATATGGAAGATTTACTGCTGAGTGAAACAAGCCAGGCTATGAAGGAGAGACATTGTATGTCCCCACTTAATATATACCAAGTGTCCACACTCTATGACTGAAACTGACTAAAGGGTATAGAAACACAGTAAATGGATGTAAATATCAGATATAGTGTGTGTGAAAGAGCAGAGTCTGAGGAAGGACATTTATAAGAAAAATAGAGAGGCAAAGCATTAATGGGACAAAGAAATGTGGTATTATCTGTTGAAGATACTTTTATAGTTTTATCAACTGCACTAGGGAGAAATGTTCATATGTTGAAATATTCAGTTTGTAAGCTAAATAATGTGATTGAATGTAGAAGAGAAAATGAAATTTTAAAAATGTTAAAAAAATAGTTTTTGGGGGAAGAGAATCAACAGAATTTGATGACCAAATGGCACATACAGAGGGAGGTAAGTGAAATCTAACAACCAGTTTTCTAACTTTGATGTCTGAATGAACAATGTTGGCAATCACCCTGATAAGGTCTATGGTGAGAAGAGGAAGTTTGGTACTGGAATGTAAAAGGTTTCAATTATGGACATAAGGGTTTTGCCTAAATCTTCCTCTTCTGGGACAATCTGGCACTGATCAAATTGTCTGGGATAGGGGGCTTATGATAGTCATATCCAGAGTATAAGACCCAGTAAGACAAATTAAGTTCATGATATAGAGCAAGGGTTAACAGTCTATGCTCATGTACTAAATATGGCTCACTACTTTTTTTTATAGAGAAATATTTTTCCTATAGGGTGGGTGGGCTTGCCAGAGAGACTCAGAGAGACAGAGACAGAAAGCGAGAAATCACTGCCTGGGGGGATGGTCATGCCACAGTGCCCTCTCCTACATAGAAAGCGAGAAATCACTGCCTGGGGGGATGGTCATGCCACAGTCCCTTCTCCTACATTCTCCTCTTGGAATTTGGAGCATGCACACACATGCACCTGGCATGAATTTTAAGCCACTGGATTTGGGACTCAAACATCTGTTAACTACATGGGATTCCAGCAACAACCATTACACAATCTGCTGGTCCCTGGCTCACTATTTTATGAATACATTTTTTATTGTAGCACATTTATATTCATTTGTTTGCCTGTAGTCTATAACTGTTGGCTATTTTGTACTATAGTAGGAGAGTTGAGAGGCTGTGACATAGATCATATGGTATGCAAAGCCTCATTTTTCCCAAATTTATTTTTTAAAGACTACTTTTTTAGAGAAGTAGCAAAATTGAGAGCAAGAGGGACCTGGTGGTAGGGCAGTGGTAATGCAACCAAACCCACGTGGGAAGGTCCCTGATTTGTGATTCTAGGCCTCCCTTTGCACACTGGGTGCACATGTGTACCCGTAATCTGGACTTGCACAGACTGCAGCATGGGGCTCTTCTGGGGGTACCCATCCTCTCTTAGAAGAAATAAGCATTTTTTAAAAATTGAAAGGAAGGTTCAGAGATTTCCCATTTATTCCCTGTTCCAGTGCATGCATATCCCCCATTGTCAACATTCCCCACCAGAGTAG